GCTCAGTAATCAAACGTTTTCAGTAATGTTCATATAAAAGCTAAATGCCCTGTTAGGCTAGCAGAGTGTGTGCATCCAAAAATGCTTCTACAAAGCTTAATAATTAACACAGCTTATCCTGTTAGTTAATCTGTACAACAAACACTGCCTGCAAGATGTTATTGACTTGTTTTTCTCCAGTTTGTAGGTTGTTTCCCACAGTATATTTTTAGAGAGAAACCACTTGATATTTTCATACGTTATCATAATTTTTCTCATTTATTACTTTATTTTACACTTTCATTTTGCACTGTTCAGAATTTTGTGAAAAAGTGTTTTTTTTTTGTTTTTTTTTGGAAAACCTGCACATGATAATTTTGGTCGATCTTAAAATAATAGTAATAAAAAACTAATACATTTGCTTGAAAAGTTGCCACTATTATCTGCTGAAAGTCTCTCTCTCTCTCGCTTTCTCGCAACAACAAAGTATTCATTTCATATGTTAAAGAAAGGTGCCCACTCCCACATTTGATCTGCTACAGATGCTTTATTTTGTGATTTTTTTGTATCAATAAGCAGCTTCAGAGCGGTGGAAACACCTGGCTCACTGAGGTCAGAGGAAAGAAAAGACACCTGCGGCATTCAGCCTCTGCCCACAGCCAGGCTGTTGATCATCTGCACACCTGCATACAGTCTGGACACTGAGATCATTCACTTTAACTTCAAATATCTGCCTCAGACTGTCTGTCAGGGGAATCATCTGACTGCTCTGTGCTGATAAGTAAAAAGAAGAAAAATCCCTGAAGAAATCCAGACCATTGGATCAAAAAGATTTTTTTTAAACTTTGCATCAACCATGTTGGATTTAAATACACCGAATGTACTTTCCTCCAATTTTTAAGCATGTAATGATCTTCCTGGTTGTTTGAGGTTATGGCTCAAGATGTGATGATCCACATTTAGGAAAGCCTTACTCACACACCGAACACTGAGAGGTCTGCATGGCTGTGTCATTAACACGGGGCGAAGAGGAGAAATGACTCCACCCAGATGGTGCTGCTGACTGTCCTCAAATCTCAGCCTCCCACCAGCTTCATCAGCTCGGCCTGTGCCACAGCTGAGCGATATGGAAGCAATTACAGCGGTAAGCAGGGGAGCGTACAACACGGGCACGATGAAGTCATGTCTATTTCAACCTGAGGGATTCGGGAGCCAGGCAGATTCAACAACTTCAGCAGAAAACTCGCTACAAAGCTTCACAATTAGCCTTTTACTATATAAGTTACACAGGTCTGAGGAAGCATGTTGGATTATGGGATGTGTTGTTAAATGCACAGTAGGAGCTTCATCTTTAATTTTACATGAGCCAGAATGCATATTAGTGATGCATGAGAACCGAATGTTCCCATAAAAGACGTGTCCTTCTGTTTCAACGCACGTTTTCTGAGGCGCTTCGTGTTTCTGCCTCCAGCTTACATTGCTAACTGGTGAGCAGCTCATGTCTGTTCCTCCTTCTTCTGTTTGAACAGATAAACCAACAAATATTTTACTTATATAGGCTGAATAAACCACTGCAAATCAGTTTTTTGTCTTGTATTTTAACCAATAAAAATGTTTCAAACTAACCATCTGTATGATTTATACTACTTTCTGATGGTTTATCCCCATTTTGGCCTCTTAAATCTTACTAAACATGACACATTAGGAGCCTTGATCACTCTACATAATCCATATGCTACTTATTATTTATCTGAGACATTTAATTACGGTAAACTATGAGTGAATTGTCTAGAGTCAGAGCACGTATAAATCTACACATGAAGGGCACAAAGTGACCCAAGATACAAAAGATTCAAAAAACGGCTTTTCAAAGCCAAAAGATTGGTTACAAAACAACAGAACAACTACAAAGTAGCTTCAAGACCTACAAAGCGCTAAAGCTTTCTATGAAACACAATAAGCTTTGAGGTTGAACACTAAAATCCTGGCTTTGTTACCATTATTAAGATAAGATAATCCTTTATTCGTCCAACAAAAGGGAAACTTAAGCTCTTATGGCAGTAAGGACAAAATAAGAGCTCCAGACATGAAAAACAACAGAATAAAAAAAGAGTTCAGCGTAGGAAAAAACACCATCGAGTATAGGTATAAAAATATGAACATGTATACAAAAAAATACAGATTTCTATGGGTGGTGTTTGAATCAGCTTACGCAGGGCTTTGCTGTTTTTCTGACTTAATTTATACAAGTGTGATTTAAAAGAATATTAATCTACTCTTTCTCTACAGCTTAACCTAACCTGTGTTGACCGGGTAGATTCATCGACCGCTAAAACCGAAGGTGAGAGCTGATGAAACTGGTGAGTCGCATTTTGAGGAACCTTTGGAGTCAACTGACCTTCAAACACGACCTTTGAAGGAAGCAGCCCCTGAATTTGGACACACCCTGGTTAAGTCCTGCTTGCTAGTTTAGCTAGCTTAATGATAAACACATCATAGGAAGGGTTTTCTCAAATATTTGTTTCTATTCAGAAATAAAACCAGGCCAGAAAATGTAGTGGAAATTCACATTCTCACTTGAAAAACTTGTCAGTTTATGTCTGCTGTTTTGTAAAGCCCCCAAATTTGTATGCTCTTGCCAAAGATCAGTAAACTGCCAGCAAAACTGTCAGCCATACCAATTTGTCCAAACAGGATTGCAAAGATCTTTCTTTTTGATGGCAAGCAGACAAATTCATGCATAATTTTCAAACCTAACTGTGTACACAAATTGCATAACTGTATACATGCGTTCTAAAATTGAGGGCACAGTTTGTAAACAGTGGATGGATCTTTGGAGCTCCATATGTTTACAGAGCAGCTGGCACAAGGCAGGCGCCATTCCAGATGAACCTCAACGTTTCCTGGCCGCAGAATTTGGCTCTGGATTATTTCCAGCCTTTTGTATCCAGAATTTTACATTTTGTTTGCATCTATTACCGTGTCATACCCAAAAAGAAACCCCCATGCCTATTTTTTCATTCAAACCTACAAAGCACAGTTGTATTTATAAATATCATTGTTTTTTTCTGGTTTGAAGACGTTGGCAATTAATGAAAAGAAAAAAAAATTGTTACTAGAAAGAATAAATGTGTATTTAAACAAACCGTTTCCATTTCATACTCATAAACAAACAATTTACATCTTTAACCTTAATAAATGCATATCAACTTATTTTCCTTGTGAATTTTACTCTTCATTAAATGGGTCATAAAAATGCTTAGATGTCATGCATATTTTAATTCATTAATTCACTTTAATGTTACTCCCTATTTCTGTTGAATCTATGAAATAAGACAATGACCTCTGATCAAACCAAAGGACTTTATAATTCTGGTCAAAGTTAATGTCATTAGTTGCTTCACTGCAAAATCTTACTAAGTATTTTTCGTCTAATTTATTGGGCAAATATCCTAGAACACTTAAAATAAGACAAAACTTATTTACAAGTAACTTTTCAGCAAGATATATGAGCTTTTTTTAAGTCAATAATTCCCTAACATTCATAAAAAGTACTAGTTTCACTGCTACATTTGATCACTTAGTGTGATAAAATCAACATAAAGGATTATTTACTTTAAAAAAGCTCCCATAACTTTCTAAAAATTTACTATTTTGTGTTTTTGCAGTGTAAAACCAAATAGCACTGTTTTTTTTTTTAACCGAAAATAACTGCCAACAGCAAAATATGAACTGGTCATAAACCAATATTTGTATCTATTTAGAGATTTTCTAGACTGAGAAGTAATGCTTTGGTTTTGTGATTTTTGTACTGTAGGCCGTATGTTGCCAATCGTGCATGTGAAAAGAAAGCAGGAGCTGCCAAGTTCATTTTAAAACTACCAACTTGGACCGTTCATAAAGTCCATTTATTTATTGCCAAATCCAGATGATTTTATGGTCCTTATCCAATATTTTTCTTTCCGACCCTTCCTTCCAGGAAGACGTCATTATTGTTCACATGGGGTGTTACAAAGAGCACAAAGTATTTCTTCCAAGAGTAATCAAAGTCCTTAGTGGCTGCGGTTCAGCCAGACCCTGATGAGCCGAGGTGGATCTGTTGAAAAAAAGCTGGTCGCGCCCATGACGGCAGCTCCTCCGGGAGTCCAAGTCCGCTTCTTACTCATGGAAACATGCGTGTTGACTCGCACAAGCGTTGCAGGAGACTCAAATGTTCCGGGCCATCCGTGTCCCCTGGATGCAGGGGTGGTCCGGTGGGGGGGTAGCTGTGGGTTGTTGCTCCCTATAGATTATGTGGAGAGGGATGGGCTGAGGGACGGGGGGGCTTGTCTTGTAAAAGGGGAAGTTTCTGACTTAAGAGCTTCTGTACCTAGACAGAATGCACACACAGGTCTGTGCCAGTTCGCTAATGGAAACCAGACCCAACTCTCACATGAGGAGGGAGGTTTTTATCGAGGTTCCCCCCGGAGGAGTGACGAAAGAGTGGAGGAGGTAGGGAGAAAATGTAAGGCATAAAGAACTGAGCAGATAAAACTTTAGCTGTTATTTTCCCTCAGCGGCACGATGTGATAAGAGCTCAAACACCACAAAATCTTACCAAGTGTTTTTGATCTAGTTTCTCAGCGCACTCGAAATAAGACAAAACTAACTTACAAATAACTTTTCAGCAAGATATAGGAGCTTGTCATTCTTTATTATTGATAAAAAAGAAAGTACTAGTTCCACTGGCAGATTATTTCACCTTTAACATGGAAAAGAAAAGTGAAATAATCTAGAATTTGGTTGCTAGGTGACGGGCTGGGCCTGGCTGTGGTTGCTAAGTAACGGCGCAGTCCCTGGCTGCCAGTTGTGCAATAAGTGAAGTAGTTTTCCAGTGGAACTAATACTTTTTAATCAATATTCTGAAATTATTTACATAAAACAACTCCTATATTTTGCTGAAAAGTTTAATTTTGAGTAAATAATTCTTTAATATTGGTGAAAAGGTACTCCGTCCACTGGCAGGTTGTTTCACAACATTTTCCCACCAATAAGTGAAATAATCTGCCAGTTGAGCAAATACTTTTTCACGCTGACTGATAAAAGGAGAGTTCCCATCACTCTAAACCTAGATATAACAATAAAACACAGTCTGCTCTAAATATTGAAAATCCCCCACTGCATGATAATTGGTTGGTTGGGTTTTAAAGATAAAACTTTCAATTACAACATTCGCATACAAACAATCATCCTCCTTCATCCCTGAACTGGACTCAAACAACTAGAGGTTTATATTATTAGCCAACAGGGAAAAACGCTGAAGTCGAAAGGGAAAGGTGGAGTTCCTACATAAATGGAGCAATTGTGAAAGTTGATCAGATGAATCATAGCTGTGATTGTTTTTTACAGATTGTTTCTCCACAGCAACAAACTTTTGACCCTGGTTTGAGTATTTCTTCTAGCGTCTAAAAAACCTTTGGATTGAAATATTCCATTTCAGGTTATGTTAAAGAATGACTTTAAAGAATGACTTTAAAGAATGAGTTTGTTTTCAAAAAATGGCTTTAAGATTGCATTCAAAACAGTGGTGGACATTTATTGTATCGTTTATCATGTATCGTGAAAAACTTAATATCATGGTAAGAATTTTGGTGTATCATTGTCTTGATAAATTTCAATTGATGATGCCAAATAAAATTTAAAAGTGACAGTAGTAAAAAATTGTATTTTTGGCATTTTCTCCACTAATTGTTTCACTATAGCATCAGTAAAATCCAAAATATAGTCAAATGCAGGAGGACTGAGCAGTTTAGTGATATAAATCCCATTTCTTTAAGTTATTGGTGTCGTAAATGGGAATGTTTTTCAAGAGCAACATTTGAGTTTGTGGTGATATGAATGTTGTGCCATAAAATGGAGGTAATAAATATTTTTTCATCTTAATTACATGCGTTGGACAGATGTATTTAAGCTGCTGTTGCTTTTCTGTCGTCTCCAACCGCCCTGCCCATTCTCCCATGACATCAACAAGGCGTTTTCCGTCTACACAACTGCAGCTTTCTGGGTATTTTCTCTCATTTGGACCTCTGCCTATAAAACCGAGAGATGATTATGAGTGAAAATCCCAGGAGATCAGCAGTTTCTGAAATACTCAGACCAACACGCCTGGCGCTAGCAGCCATGTGAGGTCTGATCAGCTCACAACGGCACTGCGAGTTCTTCTGAGGCTCTTACTTTTTGACCCAATGTTTAGTTTAAATTTCCCAACAGCACGAACACAGCAGCAGGAGTTTTGCTTCTCTCTTTTTCTCCTCTGCATCATCCTAAAAACAGAGAATCACTTCATTAATTTACTACTTCTCTGCAATCTGTGTGTCAGGGCTAAAATAAAGACGGTGAGTGCTGAACACAAAGCTGAATATCACAGAGGAGCTCAGGGCCTTATTTAGAAGAGCATGGACTGAGTCACAAGACATCTCAGTTTCTCACATGGGAAGTTATTAGGAATAATGAATCACAAGTTTAAAACAAACATCTCTATCTTTTCTCAGCAGGGTTTGTATGAGGCAGGTCTTCCCTGGATGGTCATTTCCTCCCTGGTGTGAGGTATTTAGTCTCTTGGTGGAAATGAATCAGCATTCAGAACAAGGCCGTCACTTTTAGGGGGGCTCTGGAAATGGAAGAGTCATCATTTGATTTGTCTGCCAGCTACATTGTAAACCTGATTGGCTTTAGCTTGCAGGACAAGAGTATCATCCTGGCTTTGTGCTGCCAGGCCTATTTATGGTTCCCTGGTCGGGTCTATTCATAGGACGGTTCAGGTCGAAGTCAGCCGGCGAAGTGACGGCATTCCACACACACTTGAGAAGGAAAACACATAAGCAGTAAAAGTTAATGTGCTGAAGGGACAATGAAAAAGGTTTAGCAGTGAAATCTTTTCATTCCTGTTGTCCTTTTGTTCTCTACAAAGATTAAACTTGTATTTAGGGATGAGGAATTGAGCTGAGGAAACTCAGATAAACATTTCCCTTTGCTCTTATCCTGCATCAAGTCAGGAGACACACTTAAAGTAAGGTAGTTTTATTTATATAGCACATTTTCAGCAACAAGGCAGTTCAAACTGATTTTCATGAATTAGAAGAAAATACAAACAAAACAAAAAGTAAGGATAACAACAAAAAAAGCTAAATGTTGGTTCTCTATATTTGATTCTTGTTCTGGGTTGTTAAATAATCCACAATTTATAAACCAACAGGAGTTTCTCTGAGTCTTGCTCCAATATTAAAAGTATAAAGCTTGTTTTCTTGTTTTTTAAAAACCTGTTTGAGATAAATAAGTAAATAAAATAAAATCAAACAAAGCTGCACATTTATGCCATGTCCCACTTCTCAGAATATCTTAGAGTCAGTAAGAATTTAATCTGTATGACCGTCCAAGTGTTTACATGTTTCCTCAAATAAATAGTTTGGTTTTGTGTTGCTGAGCTTCCATCTCCTGTAACATTTTTATTGGGAAGTTCTTGGAGAGATAATGTTTTCCTGTTGTTTTCTAGCTGGGTGTTCCACCATATGTCAGTGAAATAACAAGCTCTGCTGTTAAAAATGTATATTTTCCTATTTTCCCCATAGGGAAGTCACTGCGTCTGCTATAGCTGAAGTGTTGGTGGGTTTCATAAAGCCCTAATATTTCTTATATCAAATTACAGTCTTTGAGTTTTTTGTGTGCTCAAGAAAACGCAGCTTTTGGTGTTACAGCGAACATTATTGTTAGAGCTGAGACATAAGTACAGATAAAGCAAGCTGCAGAAAGATTAGTTGGTCATATGAAGTAAAATAAGCCTGAAAGTTAATATGTCTTCTCTTTCTGGACTTTCATCATTAGCAGCAGAGCATTTTATTCCTCAGCTCAGCAGCAGGAAGACTGGCATCGTTCTGCCATAAAACCCGGATGTGTGCATGTGAAGCCGAGCCAAGCATTCCCAGTAAGGGTCATTCCTTTGAGTTTGGTTTATGAATACGAGACAATTAGAAAATAATGTGATTCTTTTTGTTTGCTGTTTAACAGAGCAGTCGTGCAAACTCTGGTTAAGCTGGTATCAAGAATTAATGTTCTTAAAAGCAGAAAGTTTGCAAACAAAGATTTTCCATGAAGATCCCAGAGCTGGATTAAGCAGGAGTAAAAATACCTGGCTCTGTTGCTTTTGTTTGTGCCTGTTCACTAATAGTTGTAGAACAAACTGTTAAGGCACATGTGTCAAACTCAAGGCCCGCGGGCCAGATTTGGCCCGCCAGAAGATTTTATGTGGCCCTCGAAACTGTAAAGATAAAATCGTTAAGATAAGAGTTGAGGTTTTAAATATGATTTTATCAGTCAAATGAACAGTTTTATCTGTGTTGTTCCAAATTAGATATAGGTGAAAATATGTTAAATTTCATTTAATTTCAAGAAGCTGTCATCAAATGCAGAAACAGCTATTTATTAATATTTTAACAGTCTTTTAACAAGTAGTTTTAGCGACACATTTTGCCACAAATGGCTTCTTAATCTTGATGTGGCCCAGAATGAAAATGAGTTTGATAACTCTGTGTTATGGCTTTTACATATGGACTGTGCATGCCGGCTTGTCACAAATTATCCCAGGAGTTTTTGCAATAAACAATAATATTGTTATTTTGAGACAATTTTGAAATAATTTAAAAGGTAATCTCCCCTCAAAGATCAATACGCTTTCATTTCTAGCAAACATTTAACTCTGGAAGACATTTTAAATATCCAATGTAAATTAACAAAACAACTGAAACAACAAATAAAATGGACACTGAAGTCACTGTAAACAAAATTATGTTTCAAAAAAGGGGTTTGCTGAGGCAAATGCAGCAGATTGAAACTTTTTATCATCCAGTGTTTGGTAGAAAGAAAGAGAGGCGGGAAAAACAAAAGGAAACTGATTGTTGTGATCTGTAGTTTTCTGTTTATTTTTGTTTTTTTTTCTGTGTTTATTGTGATCCTGTTCCCTGTGAGTCTCTGTGATGTCCTGTCCTCCCTGTCTTGATAGATCCCAGCTGTGTCTCGTTCCTGTGATTACCCTCCCAGTGTATTTAGTCCCACCTGTTTGTGATCCTCAACTAACGTCGTCTAACGTCAGTTGTTGTCTGTGTCGGCCTTCACAATCGAACTGTCAAGTCCTGTGTTGGTTTAGCTCGTGTTTTCAGTTTTTCAGGCGCTACCAGTATTAGCTGTGTGCTAATGTTTCAAGTCCTGTGTTGGTTTAGCTCGTGTTTTCAGTTTTTCAGGCGCTACCAGTATTAGCTGTGTGCTAATGTTTCAAGGCCTGCGTTGGTTTGGCTCGTGGTTTCAGTTTTTCAGGCGCTACCAGTATTAGCTGTGTGCTAATGTTTCAAGTCCTGTGTTGGTTTAG